TCGACAACACTACTTGCCACATTTGCTGATGACACTGCAATTCTAGCACATGAAAAAGACGCAGCTATAGCAATAAACCTTCTATAATGACATTTAAATAAAATTTTTCAATAGGGAAAAAAGTGAAAAATAAAAATAAACGAAAAAAAATCAATTCAAGTAAATTTTACCTTGAGTCGAAACATATGCGTCCGATTCTAAATTAACGAAAAGTCAATTCCGATTTATACTTCAAAAACATATTTGTGTATTATTTTAGAAAAATGCTTCACTTGAGCTCGCCACATTAAATGTAAACGTAAACAAGCAAATTTTCGTTTTTATCTTCTAAAAACACTCCTCAAATCAAAATGTGTTTCAAATAAAAAACTTTAATTTATAAAGTTACAATTAGATCTGGTCTTATGGAATTCAAATTTGGGGTCCTATTACATTTTTTAACAATACGCTCACTTCAAGCTTTCCAATCTATTTGCTTCAAGATTTCAACAGGTGTTCCCTGATTTGTTACATACAAATAAAGACCTTAAGATTTCCATAGTCACGGAACTTGCCAAATTCTATTATAAAAGATTCCACACTAAATTATTGAACAATTCCTAACCCACTCATCAAAAATATGTCTTACTTTTACCTTATTAGCAATTTTTAATGACGACTAAAATGTATCTGGTAAAGAAATCTACCTTACTTAAAATCAGAAAAAAAAACGTAAACAATTTATTGTAAAATTCTGAAATGTCGTTAGTGAACGGCTCCCTCCTCAAGTTTTTTGTGTGTTCTATTTTTATATTACCTAACTGTAAAATTTACTCATTGTTTTAGCTTAACAGATTGCATTTAATATTGAATGATAAAAAAATAAATAAATAAAAGAGGAACGAACCGTACTTATATAAATTTTAGTCGGGTATGCATGCATACATGAAAATATCTTTAAGACATAATTTACTTGAATACTAAATTGTGATGGTACCATATAATTAACCAGGATATAGGTAAAAGAGTATATCAGAAAAAAAAATTTCAAATTCATCAAAACGATATTTGGTAATATTTTTTTTTTTTTAATATTTTGCATTAATATATTAAAATATATTATAATTTTTCATAATTCGATAAGAATTTATTTATATATTTTTTTACTACTGTTAGACTATTGCACATGATTTATTGCTACATCTTTAATGAATAATAATAGGCTACAGTATTGTTTTAGTTTTTTTTTTATCCGTGCCGATTATTTTGTTGACTCAAAGCGAAGAAACTTAATCATTGGTTTAAATCATTAGACCTCACGTATGGACACACGATAATTATAATTATTACATCGGAAACAACAATGTATTATTGTATTAAAAACGTTGTAGAAGTTACAACACTTAGCTCTGAGCTAAGTTCGTGTTTCAGTTAAAACACACCTTATTATCATATTTATTATAATTTTAAGTGATATGAATGAATATGACGCATAACTTATTTTTATTTATGACTTGGATATCAGTGTTGTAGATTGTTGATGGTAATTTTTTTTTTTTTTTTTGTAAGATTAAAGCAACATCTTAGAATTGATGACGAATTAAAAAATTGTGTAAGTAATTAATCAAACAGTTTATCTTGGTTTGCATTATATATACATATAGGTAATTATAATATTATGTACCTATTTATGATTTAACTGTTATAGCATCATATCAAAATAAACGATTTAATTACTACATGTATCAACATAGCACTATTGTATTGATTGTTTATATAGTTAGTTTTTATAACTTATATGACTATATACTTAAGTATTCATTGTGAAAAATGCTAATTCAAAACATTTTATTTCTAAAAAACGTGTACTCAGTTAATTGATTATTTATTGAATTTATCATATAAATTATGATTCTTTTGCAATAGTTAGAAAAAAATATTAATTATATTTTAATTCCTGAAAAAAGGATAATTATTATAATAGGTATAATATTATATGCATTGTGCATGTGTATGCATTTACTATTTACTTAATAATATTATAAAATAAAAACAATACTTATGTAGTTAGAAAATATAAAATAAAAAATTGTTATAACATTATATTTAAAATGGTAAATAACCATTAATAAAAAAAAATCCAAAATCATGTTTAATTTTTTTTTTTTAAATTTCCCTGTAAAAATTATATTACTATAGTTTTTATAGTATTATAGTCGAAACTAGTTGGTATGTTTACTGAAAATAGTGATGATAATATAAATATGTAATATAAAATAGTTGTTTCACTTTCGATGAGAAAAATGTTTATGAGTAAAGTTTAAGGAACTAAAAGAAAAGTAACTAAATTTAAGATTTATATAAGTAATTATTTTTTTGAAAATATCTTACTTAACTTAGTTATTTAAGTTCATTTATATTTTGAAATTAATTTTAACTTAACTTAGTTGTTTTTTTTTTTTTTTTTTAGGATAACTTAACTTAAATTAGGCAAAAAAATTAATTAACTTTTCCAGCTTTGCTTCACCAATAGCCCGTAAAAACTTCATCACTACCTTTCTTATACAAGTACAAAATTATTTTCAAAACAATCAAAAATTTTTTGTTATTTTTATGTATCTAATTTAAAAATGGAAAACCGATTTACCTAATCTAATAAAACTACCTAACCTAATCTAACCCGACGAACCAGATTTCAAAAATATTTATGTTAGCATTTTATAATCATAATAATATAGATTTTTTTTTTTAAATCTATTTATAGATATTTTAAATTTAATACATTATTTATGTAATTTTTCAATTCACTTATTTTGATTGATAAAATGTAGAGTTAGTTAACATGAAAATTTAATATAAGATTATTCATAATTTTTTTATTACAGATACAAAATTCTAAAAAAAATCAAAAAAATAACTATGTCCATTGTTTCAAAACACATTTTTAGACTCCAAATGTTGACGAATTTTGATGTTTTAATGAAAAATAATAATTTATTTCAAATAGTTTTAATTTGCAGTTGTTATGTTGTAATTAATTATTCGCCATTATGCATAGGTATATTATTACTTTCTGTAGGTACACAATGAATTTTTCAATGTTATTTATAGCTATTTATAATAGCTATTTAATCCATAAACCTATTCATGCAGTTCGCCATAGTACAATAATTGTCATGTTATCTATACTAACTTATAATTTTATTAAAATAATTTAGGTAATATCAAATATGATAATATGATACTATTATATTTATTATTTAACATATGACATGTTTTTGGTAAACATTATTTCAATGTAGATCTACTGTATAATTTATGGAAAAATAAATGATATATATATATTATTAAATGTTAAATCAATGCCAATAGAAATATATAGAACATCAAAATATAAAAATATAAAAAAGGCATAAAATACAGTATCCGCTTAATATTGTTTTCAGTATACAACGATTTATTATTAAACTCAAATTTGACACATCTATATATCTATTACACCATCGATTTTAATATTTTAATTAATTACGCGATATAGAGGTACTCGAAATATAATATACAACAGAAGATTTTCCTTGATTTTTAATGAAATAAATAATTATTAAACTTAAAATTATAAAACTATTTACTTACCTTTACCGTGAAGTAGTTATATAAGTACCCAATATCATTTTATTTATTTTATTTAAATAATAAATTATTTCTTTAACTGTGAACATGTTATCCATTCCCTCCATTCCCTATTCGTTTTGAATTATTTTTGACACTATAAAATAATTCATGTTACGAAACTTAATAAAATTATATCTATTTATTTAGTTTTAATTATTTATAGCTGCAATTGAGAAATAACAGAAAATTAATAACTATTTGTTCTACAATTTAACCTTGTAAGCTGTGTAGAACTTATTTGAAATTCAAAACTAATCTAGCTAAAAAAAAAAGTAACGAAATATAAATTAATTTTACTAATTCTAACGATGTCGATGAAATGAATGACTGTTATATATTTTTTAAAACAGTTCTAAGTTATTTTAAGTGAGATATTAAAATAAAGCAAATAATTTTAAAATGATTTTAATATAATTTATTTTATATGACATAAAATTCAATGTGTTTTCAGTATGATCTTATATAAAAAAAAATATTAATACCTACTTTTATAATATGCTTCAGTTAATATTTAAATTGGAAATAATATTGTAATACAGATAATTGTAAATTGAAATAATTATGTCCTTAAAGTAAAGCTGATTCACATAGTTAATTCTATGTTTTTAATAAAAATAATTTTTTTTTTAATAATTAGTAAGTAGGAATATTAATTTGTAAAATCAGTTCTTATTAAATTACAGTATAATATCATCAGTTTACTTTAAATCTTAATTTTAATTTTTAATAATATTAATAATTGCTAAGTAAATAGTGATATATTTGATAAAAAATAAACTATCGAATTATATTATAAAAAATTTAGAAATTATAGTATATAATACATAATAATGTGTGTTTTTTTTTTTAGAAAGAAATTTACATAATATTATGTAGAACTAAAATTATCTTTATTCAAAGAAAAATTTAAAAAAGAAAAATATTTCTCTATCAAATTTTTACAAACAAACACTGGGTTGATATTGTGTACAAAAAAAAAAAAAAAATATAGAATGAAATAAAACAAAATATATATTTAAAATAAATAATATTTAGCAATCAGTAATATTTAAAATATCATAATAAATTATTTAGGTAGCTATTCTCAGAATTTATTCATTATTATTATAAAAATATTATTGAATATATGAATATAGAGTAATAGAATATAAAATTGATTACCTACTTTTAATCATTACTTTTCCGGATATTTTCTTGGTTAAATGTTCGATTATATTTAAAATGAGTTATCAACAATTGTTGTTTAAACGTAAGAAAAAAATTGAATACAAAATTAAAATAATTTGAATTAATTAAAATGAAATTAACAAGCTGAATTTTATATATAATCATAAAGTATATATTGTTTTTTTTTTGAAATTTAGATTTTATGTTCGATTATAAGTTATTGACCATCAAGCACTAGGATTGTATAAATTCATACTGATTTTACACCATTATTGTAAAAATATTTTCTGAAAAATAACACAATTACTATTAAAAACAATACTTTATTTTAATGGATAATATTATAACTCACAATTCACATCATTACAAATAGGCAATAAAATAGATAATATATTTTCATTTCATCGTTGATTTAATAACTAGAATGCACTCAATTTAATCGTATGGTTTGATGTCTACAATTTAATATAATAATGATAAATAGATAAATAAATTTTTAAAATAAATTATTCAATTATTTATATTTGCATTAAACCCTGGTTATAACCTTAAACCTAAGTTAAATATTATAACACATAAAAAATAGCATATTAATTAATACAAATAACAGTTAAATTATTAAGTTGTTCAAAGATCATAAGAGCTTGCCTCTTCAGTATGACGTTTCAACACAAATGTGTGGATGGTTCCTCCAAGTATACCACCAACAATAGGACCAACCCAATATACCTAAAATATATATCACGTATTATTATAACAATTTAACGATTTTTGTTATTAGTTATGTAACTATTTACCCAATGGTTTGTCCAAAAACCAAGAGCAACGGCTGGACCTAATGATCTTGCTGGGTTCATGCTAGCTCCCGTGTACTTAATCTGTAATAAGAAAAACATATCAAGTATAAATTTAAAATAAATTATAATATGATGAAAAAGGCCAAATAGATAAATCGTAGTTTTAAATTTAAAAAATAATTCATTATAAATTTAAAAATTATTTTTTTATCATGCGACATTATTATTATTTATAACATATTACTGTTATCTGTTTCTTAAAAAAAAACATTTTAAGTGCCTATATTAAAATATGCCTATCTATTTAAATAACCTTCTTATTCTATTGATAAAAATGAAGATTTCTTTTATATTTTTTATAATTTTAAAATGTTTTCATAATAGTTCATACTATAATTAATATCGTGTATACAATATGTTTATTTAATCACTCAATACAAATATATTTATCGTAATAATAATTTATTATGTCCTCAGTAAAGTTATATAGTAGAATAATACATTTTAAAATAATCATTCCATAATCGAATTAACTGAAATTATATTTAAACTAATACCTATACTATAAACAATGAAATGAATTCAATCGTGCATAATCAATTATTCAACGATGACAAGTTTTGACAAATTAAACTCGAATACTAAAATGTTAAATATTTTTCTCTGATTAAACATTTGTATGTATAAATTAAGTGTTTTGTATATATTACTTATCCACTATATTTAATGATACAGGGACGTTTCTATTTTATAATATATAACTATAATATAAATCAATCCTTCATCAACAATAGTTATGTCGGTGTGGCCACGTAATTTAAAAAAAAAAAAAAAATGTAAAAGCATTTCCAACAAATTAAAATTATTAAGTTTTTATTTAGACATGAGGTATTAAAAATTGAAATTTATAACTAAAATTATTTATAAGATACTCCTGTTTTGTGTCTATTAAAATAGTAAATGTTCGTCAAGTTTCTTTCGCCAAATCGTAATGAATTAGATATGGTCAAGCTACTTTTCAAAGGATTACTGATGATGACGGAATATAATTTTGGCAAAGATTTTATTTTAACTTTCTTACTATTGCCAAAATGTGTGTAGAAAACCTTTTTTTATAAGTATGTTGTATATATATTTATTATATAAAACTAACGAATATAAAAATAATAAGTTAAATATTATAAAAGTTTGTTATGGCGATGTTGACCGAGAGTAGACCTAGTTTAGTTATAGTGGCAAAATGTTCAGAGGCACCAGATAGGTTTCTGCCATATAATGGAGGAATTAGATCCCTTTATCAAAAATATTTCCCATGACCAGGTTCAAAACCAACGACTTTGAGAGTAAAATTATGTTATGATTAAATACAATATTAATAATGAAAAAAAAATGAATAATTATTTCTTATAGTATTTTAAAATACTTATTATATATTATACAAAATATAAGATTTATAAGATTTTATAAAATGATTTAATACGATTGAATATAAATTATAATTTAGATAAAATATCAAGTATAACAATTAAAATACTTAACATCATAATAACCAATTAATACTGTTATAATTTATAAGTATTAAGTATTAATATTTATAGCTGTATGGGTTATATGTTGTTATAATATATAGTTTAAATTTTCAGTGTTGATTATCAGTTTGTTATAAGGTATTAATTATTTATATATTTTTAAACATCATTTATCACTTTCTTTATTCAAACGCGTTTTTTCTTTATATTTCACATTTTTTTTTTTTTTCATTGGACTATAAATTAAAAACATGAGAGCTATAATTATTTATTTTCAATTATTTTTTGATGAAATTATAATAATTTGACGATATCTATAAATAATATAAACATAAGTCGTGTAATCGTGTCTTGTAGGCTCGACAACAACAACAATAATTATTATAATAATAACAGTATGAAAAATAATCATCTATGTATTATACATAAAAATTTTACTGAAACATTGGAAACGTAAAAATCCAATCAGTGTCTTGCACACGCGATTTAACATTATATACAACGGAAACGATAGCTCGACATAGAACAATATCCCTCTACCCCGCGGTCATTCGTATCATGACGACCACCACCATTACATCTCGCCCTCTGAACACCCGTCAGTGATGTCATCGATCGATCAACCACCAGCTACCAGCTAGAAAACGGTACACACGGCATTTTAAAACATTATTTATTTATGTATATTTTATATACCGACCGGAATATATGATAATGACACATGGTTATACCTGCTGTACCAGGTCATAACCATCACTATTGCAGTAAATTTGTGTACAAAATCTCAAAAAATATTAACGGTCACTGAAGAGTAAAGAGGTAAGATAATATACGGCAACACGAATATAAATAATTATCGATAATATGTTATATTGAAAAAAAAATAATGTTTATTACGTCGATATTCGATGCGATAATTCAAGATGCACTAATACAAAATATATACTAATTAAACTAACAAGAAACAAATTAAAATGTATTTGTTATGTAATTATGGTATTATGGTAGGCAAGGTAAAATATACAATTATGTAGTATGTTTGAATCGCTAGTTGACAGGTAAATATAAAATATTAAATTTGGATTGAAAAAAAAAACTTTTCAAAAAGTTATAGCAAAATGTGGTTTATTGCAAGTTTTTTACTGAAAATAAAATTACATAACTAGAAAAACAGACATTTTAATGGTACATACTACATACGAATCTGAGTTTAATTTAAAAAATAATTTTAGAATAAAAAGTTAGGGTAACTTTATTTAGTTTTATTTGACTATGTTGCGTTTAGTATTAATAGTATATTGTACCTACCTATTAATTATTATTACTAATACGTATCTAATATTTACACTTGTAATATACTGCGCTTATACTGATAATGACATCTAAGTATGTAAGCTTTAACCAGCTAACCTATGTAATGGGCATATAATTTGCACAAAACTTTTTTTTTATTTTGCTGAACCATTTGTATTCATATTCACTATTTTAAATCTGCTAGTGTTCCTGCTATAAGTACTATAGTCTATAGTTGCTAATGGCTATACCTAACTCAATTACATATTTCTGTACTCGACCTTGTAGATCACAACATAAAACGTTGCTTGTCTTAGCATACGCTAAATGCGTAATTTGACTTTAGGTAGAGGATCCGTCCAACCCGCTTGTTAACCATTACGGCTCACGAAACTATATAATACGAAATAATGCTGTGTTATGATGGTACAATTTTCGATGACACCACTGCACAATTTTCTCGCACGAACGTTTCTGCTCACGCTATCCGTCGACTTTATCGTGACAACAGTATTTTAATATTATAGAGCCAGGCGTGTGCACTATAGAATGGTTATATTTATTCAACAAAGTCCAGGGTTGTTGCACTTTTAATTATTAAAACTGTATTTCGAATTAATTGTTTGAAATTGTTCAATTGTACCTGCAGATAATGTTTATCAAACGCTAATGTTGTATGGATAGAATTTTAGTGATAACTGAAAATTATACAATGTGCAATAAAAATAGGTACTTGAAATCAGTATTTAAAATTGTAATTGTGATTTTTAAATCTTTATATTATTTATGGACTACATTTTTTTTTTATAGTCACAAATTATTCACATGTCTCAACAAATGACGTTAACCATATCCCATATCAAGCATATTTTTAAAACAAATTTTTAGGTGGGAAAGGCGAATGCTTACGCGTCTAGTTCTTGTTTGAACTTGAGATAATAAATGTCTTCAAACTTAGATAGTGCTCTTAAATTTTTTTAAAAGTATATTAAGTACCTACCGACATAAAAAAAATAAATATATTTTACTTGTAAATTTAAAACTATCACATTATTGGCTGTTTACTTTTCTCTAAAAATTAACATTAGAGTATTAATGGAAATAAAATTATTAGAGAATAGGGTTTTAAAATGGTTTCTCACTTAATACTTCCGTTCAGGGGTGGAATGGCGTAAAAAATCGGACCGGGCGATCATAGATTAAGGCCCAGCCGCTCAGGTGTTATAGTATTATACAAATATCATTATACCAGCATATATTTCTTAATATTAATAGCCTAGACAGATAGAATAAGTGACTTTTCCTCACTCCCGATTATTCAATCATCGTCATTTGGTCTATTTACAATATACAGTAAAAAAAAAAAAAAATTGTGTCCTCAATTGTCAACTAAAATATACAATTATTATCGTAAGGTCGAAAATCCTAACAGCCCAGAGGGCGATCGTCCACCCGCCCGTCGGCCAAGTCCACCCCTTCTTTCGTTATGTTAAATTACCTCAATTTCTTACAAATTATAAATACAGTTTATAGAATATACACTACGCGTATGAAAGCCAATGTTCCCGAAAAATAACAGAAGTCTCAACCCGATAGTCTTCAAGCTCTATCGGTACTTCGCGTTCGACTATGATTGAGGTGAATAGCATATTATTTAACCGTATTTAGGATAATCGAAATCAGTTCACAGTCTTACTAATTCGGCCGTCATAAAAGTGCATAATCAGTTACGGTTACAACAGGGAGCCCCGCAGACCACCGGTGATAATCCCTTCTCAGTCATCGAGGAGACGACGACGACAATAGACACGAGACATAACAGCGATGTGTGTAACATAATACATAAACTGACATCAGGTGTATAATCACGCAACAACAATGTGCTCGGAGATCTCTTCATGACGAATAACACACGTAGTTGTTTTGGCATTACCACGCGATGTGAGTAATCCCGGGGCGGCAATGATGGGGTATGCGCTCGATTGCACGACACGATAATTATTTTGGTATTCAGTTTTCCGCGTACACCGATTACTGCATTATTACTGTTGTTATTCGTAAAAAATTACGGCGTAGTACGATTGCGGGCGTTTTCCCGTTTTGGGTATACGATTGCGCGCAATGCCTGAATAACAAAAGACATGATTTTAATTGTCCAAAGGTATACAATTGCGCTTGAAATTGAATGCGACGTTGCCAAATTTTTTACTAAACAAAAAGTTAAGTTATATTATAATTATTTTAAATATTTAAATACAA